TATTTCATAATATAGTAAATTTGAGCTTGTTATAACTATTTCATCTTTGACTAATGAGACATAAAAACATTTTTTCGGATCATTTCAAGTATATATTTAATTAAAGAACATTTAGTTGATATTCTAGAATGGAGGGGATGTCATGGTATCCCTGTGTATATGCCTTATATGGTAGTGCATGCCTTATATGGTGGTCGTCGGCCATCTTGAAATTCATGGGTTATCTTATAGTTATATGTATTATTCTATAGTTACTAGTTAGTTAGTAATAAAACGTTATTCAAACTACAACGCAATTAACGCAAACTTTACATGGAACGATCATATTGAGGAACTGGATAAGAAAGCCTCTAAAAAACTGTACTTTCTCTTCCAACTTAAGCGAGCGCAGATCCCACCGAAAGATTTCGTATGTATAGCCTATTATTGCGCGTACATTAGATCATCACTTGATTATGCATGTCCAGTTTTTCATCATGCATTACCCAAGTACCTTCAAATCGAGCTTGAGATGATACAAAAGAGGACCCTCTCTTGTATTTTTTCTGGCTGGCATTAGTACCATAAGAACTCACTACGAAAACTCAATATGCATTCCAATTAGTGTGTAACAATTCTTCCAACAAAATTCATAACCTGTTGCCATAATTTTGCAACCAGACTCAATTTAAGAAAACAAAGAAAGTTCATTTTTCCCGCTAAGGGACAATCAGACTCGACTTTGACGCTTCAACCTTTGCACTTCCTAATCGGAAATTTATAATTTTATGCAAACGAATGTCATACAAGCATATTGTTTTTATCCTACCTGTTGGATACTGCGATTGCTCCACGATGGCGAGGTCAATCAAACGGGGAAACGGTTTTGGTAAAGAAATGTTTCGATATACAACACCAGTGGAAACATTCATCTCCTGAATCACTCTTGTGTCCATTTTCTGAATGTAAAGAAAATCTCCGAATACAGTAAATGCACTAACGTTCCTTTCCGGAAATGAAATATTTTTCAACAAAACACCATCATAATCCAAGAAAGATATATCTATGCTCGTATTACTCTTCCAATAATAGTACAGTTCCTTGTTGACATAATCGAGGTACAGCATGGATTGGCCATCTTTCATATTGAACTTTTTAATATCCTTTCCGATATAATTGGTTCGCGTCAAAGTTGATCCACCATTATTAGAAAAAATATATCTAAGAAATAACAATATAAATCAGTTACGTGAAGTTGGTAAATTTCTTTAATTTAGAACTATGCGACCCGTGAAATGTAAATGTGAAACTTTTGGAAAACTATAAATGAAAGTTCATGTTGTTTTGGTTGTGAATTGACATGAACAATGTCTTCTACGAGGAATGCCGACAAAGGCTTCAGATCACAAAACCCGAAAAGCCCTGTCGACGAAAAACCTCGGACAAAAAATTCCCTGCTGGCAAGGCCCCAAATAATTGATTTATGATAAAATTTGACACATTTCGGCTCATATTTTTTACAATCACAAAATGTTTTAACACATCTGTCGGACAACATTAAAACTGAGTGGGATAGCTACTGATTACGAAATTGTTTTTTTCTTTGTAAGACAGATGAAAACAACAATTTCCAAAACTTCTTAAAAACAATAGAAAATGAGATGAGTTTAAAAAGAACGTACATAACGGCTATCTTTAAAACAGGGAATCGCGGAATCTGGATTCCCTGTACACCCTGGATTCCTAGTTTACAATTTATATATACTGGTAGTTGAATATAGTGGGTTAACAGGGAATATATTAACACTTCGATTCCAGAAACTCAAGAATTCGACTATTTTGTACACATTTTTACGCTCACTCAGTATTTTTATGCAGTACAATAAAAGCGCGAGTATAGAAAGCAAAATTTTAAAGATATATTCAAGCCGTGAGATTACATCTTGCTAGACTACAATACAGCTGACGCAATAGGGAAAAGACGAAAAAAGTGGACATTTTTAATCATGGCAGACAGTCGTCCCAATCATATCATAAAATACCCAATTTCCGTTAGCTAAAAAGTCTATATTATATATTGCTGCTCTATTACAATACATATATAGATATATATATATACATATTAAATGCATGAACAAAGCAATGTTAATGCGCGGCCATTTTGTCTAAAAGCAGTAAAACTGGAGCTCTGCTTATTAGATCCTCAAGACCCCCTAAATCTTATAATATCATGCAATAGTTTGCTTTATTTTCCCAAACCTAAGACCGAATATCTTAAAAAAGGTCTTAGTTATAGAGGAGCAAAATTGTGGAATGGCCTCCCAGATAGACTAAGAAATAAATGTTCTCTTAGTCAATTTAACTTGGGTGTGCGGCACCTGGCCAGTTAGATAATGAGTTTATGAAATTTTATTTATTTGACCATAGTAGAGTAATTATAATTGTATAATTGTATTGTAATGTGTTAGTATTGTATATATATTTATCCTAATTGAGTGTACGTTTGTATTTTTAAACCTACGCCCCTCTTGGAAATCAGCTCTTGCTGTAGGGGTTAGCGTAGACAGATAAAGTTTTTACTTACTTTAATTACACTTGTGCGAAACTTGTGCCGGTGCGCCATAATATTCTGCAATTTAATTTAAATACGATCCAATGTAATTTCTCAGGAATTAATGAAGGCACCCAACCAAACTCTGCACTATTTAGTCGTTGCATGTGTTCCAAACAAAAGTGTGAGAGCACTAGCACCAGGAACGGTACGATGAGAGCACTAGCACCAGGAAAATTGGGGTATCTTGCCTGGTATATTTGCTGCTCGTAGGTGAAAATGAATATTCTGCGCCTCGTGTGTTTATTCCGCCTGCCCCGTACGTGTCTCTTTGCCTGTCATATGCTCTCTATATAAGTCATATTTAGATAAACAGAAAGGCAGCATGATCATGAGTCTGCAACTATTTTAAAATCCCTTAACTAGATTTGTATATAGTATATTTTTACATTCTAAATTTTTCAACTTAGTACATAGTGAGGGCCACGAAGTCATCAGTGTTAATTTACTACTCTAAAGTGTTAGCCTAGTTAAATAAAGCCTATAATAATAATAATAATAATAATAATAATGTACATAAAGATATTACTCGACTGTAATTGGTTGATTTCAGTGCATTTAATCCCAAACAGCAGTGCAAAATCTGTAACAACAGTGCAAAAATCTGTAACAAACTGATCTGATTGGTGGAAAAACATTGTGATGACAAAATCAACCAATCAGTTCAAAGCAGTTTAGTTTAAACAAGTAACGGTCACAGATTGCTTCAAAACAAAACAAACATGGCGCCGCGCTACATAAAGTAAAAGTTGACTTCGCGTGGAAAATATGGCTTTTATCTTCATTTTCAGTAAATGGAAAAGCCTTTACCTTGAACAAGGCTAACAATTAAAACTTACACTGTTGAGTGGAATTTTCAAGCTGTTAGCGCTGTATAATGTGATATAACAAAGCCTGGAAAACTTTGTCAACAGAATGTTCGCTGTGAACGTAAGTAATAGCATGGTTTCTCGTGAAATTGAATAAACATGCACTCGTGAGTTTTTTAAAGGCCTCAAGTATTTTGAGGTCTTTGAAAAACTCACTCGTGCATGTTATATCCAAATTGCACTTGAAACCATGTACCCTGGTTCCAGAGGTTTATTTTTTATTATTTTCATTGCGAAGGGGAGAGGAAAAATAAACCTCTGGTTGAAAGCGGCAATTGATTCATCAAGCCGCACCAATCGGTTTTAATTAGGATCAGATCCTGACTCTGTTTCCTGATTGGATGATTGTATTAAATCTCTCTGATTGGTTCAAATAGAACATCTAAGTGTGGGGGACTGAGTAGAAATTGCGAAAAAGAACATGGCGGCCGATCATACTTAGACAAATTATTCAGAAGCAAGTCTTATACGCAATATTCAATGGCAGAGATATTTTCGCGATTTTACCCACTGGATATGGGAAATCATTAACATTTCAACTGCCACCTGATCTCTATCGTGAATTCCCTCCCCTCCCTCAATTGTCTGAACGACAGGTAGACAACCCAATTGTATACATTCGCGAACCAATTATCAATGGTATTAAATTTTTATTTTTTTCCCCCTTTTATTGCCCATATATTATAACATATAAATATTTACATTAAAAAAAAAATTAGATTAATGTTATGGTAGGGGCCTACCAGAAACCTTAACAGGCTTTTATTTAAGACCCCTATAGATATAAAATTTAGATGCCAGTTCTAACAACAGACTATACAGTCAACCAAATTTAAAATATATTACAAGAAGTATTATAGTTAAAAGAAAAGAAAGAGAGAAAATGTGAAAGCTATTTACAGCATAAAGTGTTGCATTGTACATATAATTTGATTAATTACTTGATATTTGAAGGAAGTGTTCTTTTATAGTATTTTTGAAAGTATTACGAGAAGTGATACTTTTAAAATGACATTCAAGTCTATTCCAAACATCGACTCCTTTATTTGAAAGAATATGTTTTACATAGTTCGTTCTTTTGTATGACTTGTGAGTTGTGTTTTATTTCTTGTATTGTGTTGGTGGATTTGATCATTGGTCACAAAGTAATCAGTGAATACCTCTGGTAGATTTTTGGTATAGTGATATCGAAACATAAATAAACTCATTAAATAATCATTAATTTTATAAATATCTAGAATTTTTAAGTTTTTAAAGATTGGTTCGCTATGTGCCAAATAAGAGTTGAAAGTCATAAGGCGCACAATTTTTTTTTGAACATTCATAAGTTTTTGGATTCGTTTTTTGTAGGTATTACCCCAGATTATATTTCCATAGATAAGATATGGATAGACTAAAGCATAGTAAATAAGCTTAAGAGCATTTAAATTTGTAAAATGTCTTATTTTTGCTATTACTCCAGCAGATTTAATAACTTTTTTTGCTATTAAATCCACGTGTTCATTCCATAATATTATATTGCAGAATATTCAATGCATTATCAATGGCTTTTAGCATCTGTTCTACAGGCCATACTACTC